ACTTCAGCAAAAAAACAAGCCCCCCCAAATTTTTGCTCAATTAAGTTTTGTTCCTGCTGAGTACAGTGCCTCACACCTGTAATCCCAATACTTTGGGAAGCTGAGGAGGGAGGATCACTGGAACCCAGGATGTGGAGACCAGCCTGGGCAACACAGTATGACCCCAAATCGACAAAAAATTTTTAAAAAGAGCCAGGCATGATGGCACATGCCTGCAGTCCCAGCTATTTGGGAGGATGAGGCAGGAGGATCACCTGAGTCAGGTAAGGTGAGGCTGTGGTAAACCTTAATCACGACACTACACTCCAGCTGACACAACTGAGTGTGACCCTGTCTCAAAACAAACAAAAATTGAGTTTTATTCCTTAAATTTCATGGCTAGCACTAATACAGAGTCATAATCCCTTATCTAAAATCCTTAGAAAGAGAGGTTTACCACAATTCAGAATTTTTTTTTAATTTTAGCACTACAGCAAATATGTCATAGCATGTAACGCCCCAGGCAGTGTTCAAGCAATAACCTATATTCCATCACATGGAATAAAGTTTTACCTTAACAGTAAAACTCACACAAACTCACAAAAAGTGAACTGAATTAAGAATATAAATAGCTTCCTATCAGTTCAGGTTAGGTTCAGCCATCAAGTGCATTTTGGCACCAAACTTGGCATAAAATTGGTTAGATTATCAGAACTTTCATATTTCAGAATTTAAGATAAGAGAGTATTGGATCTCTATTACTATAGATGCTTTATCAGTATTAATGGTTAAGTATTCTAGAGCAAAAAGAATGAAATGTAAGTTTATACCTAATACCACCAAAGTAATTCCATGCCAATTACCAAGAAATTCATTATCCCCAAATGTTAAAGGCAACAAACTCTAGAGTACAAAACAGTCAGTCTGTTTCCCACTATCACACACTATTAGTTCAATAAGCAGTAATCCATCAAAAAAAAAAAAAAAAACAGATCTATGACAAGACAAAATATTCAGAAATATAATGACCAGGTTAGAGAAAAAAATAAAATGAAGCTGTGCTTTGAAACTTTAAAAGGATCCATGCAAATAAATGTGAAAAAAATTCCAAACTTTCAGTGCTGATCAATATGCTATCAAAGTATGGAAAATTACATAAATCAACTTATAACTAATATTGGAAAATTTGCTCTGAGAAATAAACAATTCCAACTTAAGGTTCACTTTCAACTGCTCACTTAAAGTTCCTGCATTACTATTATTATTATTATTAATATTATTTTTGAGATGGAGTCTCACTCTGTGGACTAGGATGGAGTGTAGTGGCATGATCTCGGCTCACTGCAACCTCTGCCTCCCAGGTTCAGGCGATTCTCCTGCCTCAGCCTCTGGAGTAGCTGGGATTACAGGCCCGTGCCACCATGCCCAGCTAATTTTTGTATTTTTAGTAGAGATGGAGTTTCACCATATTGGCCAAGCTGGTCAGGAACTCCTGACCTTGTGATCCACCCACCTAGGCCTCCCAAAGCACTGGGATTACAGGCGTGAGCCACTGCACTCCACCCAGTTCCTGCATTATTTAAGGGGAGGACAACCGTCATGGAAGTCTGCAGTCATGGAATCACTATTCCTTAAATTTCCTGTGGACTTTCTGATATGCAGTATTTCACAGGACTATTATACAATCAGAAAAAGTTTGACATTTCCTTTCTACATTAACTTATACATTTACTAAATAACTCAGGGCACTAAGGGTCAGCATACAGTACACTACGTAGCCTTCACTACTTACTAGTTCTGCTCATTAAAACTAGAGGAAAATTATAAGGAAACCAGCTCATCACACAACCGCCTCCCTCACAAACTTGGAAAAAAGACAGAAACAGAGGTAAATTCTGCAAGGGTATGCACCCTGGGAATTCTCAGAACTGGGTTGTGCATAGCCATTTTTTCTATACTCTGTTAAATCTGACACATTTTTTGATAATTTGAGCAGCCACGGGAACTATACACCTAACCCCATACTTCAGGGACAGAAGGTAATGTTCAGGATAACACGAGCAAGCCAAGGCAGTAGGCTCCACTGGCTCCACTGGCTCCACTGCTGCAAATGTCTACAACGGCCTTACCTTTTAACTATGAGAAGTTTGAGATATGCCTCAAAATTTACTTATAAATGGACACTTCAGTGTTTGTTCAATTCACCTCATCCAACACTAAGCAAGCACTTAAAACACACAAAGGTGGACATAGGGAACACAAGTGTAGAAGAAATCAGTGGTGACTAGAAAGGTCACTAAAAGAAGTGATTCAGGATGCAGATCCTATAAATGTGCTGCTATCACCATGTTTCTCTGTTCCTTATTGCATCCATATTTTAAAATAAACTCAATGGGATATACTGCCCTGAAGGACTGCCAGCAACACACAGTGAAAAATGAGAGAAGAACTTGAGTGCCTAGTTTACAAAGGTAAGTTACATATCACTTTTAATAAACATGTATAACTAACATTCATAAAAATATAATTTTGGTTAGTTGTTACAAACCTGAGAGCTGAACATTTAAAAGACAAAAGCTACTTTAGTTAATTCATTAATATAACCCGCCCAACAGGAAAACTATCATGTGATTAAATAAGCATAGTCACCACTAAAATAACATCCAATTCCTCTGTATCTAGAGAGAAATCCAAGTTCGAGCACTCTACAATTTACCTGGGCAACAGGAAGATATGGGAAGGCAGTCAGTAAATGCAAATGTAAAATAAGTATTTCAAAATATCAGATGCTTAAGAAATACTACCACTGACCAGCTTCTAATTATCATTGGAACATGGCATACTTTTGAAAACAAACAAACTTAACCATCATAGTTTTCTTTATTTCTCCCCACCACCCCCAAGATGGAGTCTTGCTCTGTCACCCAGGCTAGAGTGCAATGGCACAATTTCAGCTTACTGCAACCTCCACCTCCAGGGTTCAAGCAATTCTCCTGCCTCAGCCTCTAGAGGAGCTGGGATTACAGGTGCATGCCACCATTCCTGGCTAATTTTTGTTTTTTTAGTAGAGATGGGGTTTCACCATGTTGGCCAGGCTGGTCTTGAGCTCCTGACCTCGTGATCTGCCTGCCTCGGCCTCCAAAGTACTGGGATTACAGGCATGAGCCACCAGGCCCAGCCAAGCATCATAGTTTTCTAAAGGAAAAAAGGTACTCTTTGATGAGCATTATATTGCTATCCATACATCAAGCACTACCTAGAATCTAGCTTCTGATGCTGTCTAGAATCCAGCATCTACTATCGAGAGGAACAGAGGGAGAGAGACAGAAGGATACACTAACATATAAGGCCCAAGAGAGCTGCGCGCAGCTTCATACAACAACAACAAGAAACATATTCCTATCTGGGCGCGGTGACTCACACCTGTAATCCCAGCACTTTGGGAGGCCCAGATAGGTGTATCACCTGAGGTTGGAAGTTTGAGACCAGCCTGATCAACATGAAGAAACCCTGTCCTACTAAAAATACAAAAAATTAGGCCGGTGTAGTGGCGCATGCCTGTAATCCCAGCTACTTGGGAGGCTGAGGCAGGGGAATCGCTTGAACCCAGAGGGCAGAGGTTGTGGTGAGATGAGATTACGCCATTGTGCTCTGGCCTGGGCAACAAGAGTGAAACTCTGTCTTTAAAAAACAACAACAAAAACATGTTCCCTTTTACCCACTAGGTTGACTACCCAACAACATTTTAAGTTTTACATATGGTTTCTGAGAGTCCTCTAGAAAAATGTTTTCAATAAATCAATACCCATTTTGCATTTACACTTAATGGAGTTCTTTTGCTAACTTCTTTGAGCCAAGTATCTTTTCTTTGTTTGTTTGTTTATTTATTTATTTTTGAGATAGGGTCTCACCCTGTCGCGCACACACACACACACACACACACACACACACACACAGATATATATATATACATTTTTTTTTTTTTAAAGTAGGGACAGGGTTTCACAATCTTGGCCAGGCTGAACTCCTGACCTCGTGATCCACCTGGCTTGGCCTCCCAAAGTACTGGGATTACGGGCTTGAGCCACCACGCCAGGCCAATTTTATATTTTGTTGAGAGAGGAGGTCTTGCCATATTGCCTAGCTAGGCTGGTCTCAAATTCCTGGGCTCAAGCAATCCTCCCACTTTGACCTCCCAAGGTTCTGGGATTACAGGCATGAGCCACTGCACCTGGCCATGGATGTTTTATGTCTTTCTAAATCTTCACACATGTGAATATGTCTTGGGTGTCCAGAGCACATATTACTTGATCTCCTAACATTCCTGCTTTTAAAATCCTTAATAAAACATGTATGTAGTCACATGATCAAAACAGGGCAATTACGAATACATACACTCACAAAAATTCTTCCATGTGCTACATTAAAGTAGCATCTATGACAGACATAAAAAATTAATTCTGTTAAATTACTCTTTATTGCTTTTCATTTAAAAAAATTCAAACTATTACATAGATCTTACCAAGATGTTTTGAGAACTACATGGGTCCAACTCATACTAGCAGTCTTACTAAAGATATATTTCAGTGAGTGTTCCTGGAGTGTTATTACCAAGAGTGAATAAAACAAATGAGTAACCAACAAATTTTCCAAAAATTACCTAGTCTTTTTCAATATGTTATTATGGAAGACTTGACAGAATGTGAATCAGGGAAATAATCTACCAATTCTTAAATTCAAACACAGATCAAGTAAAAGTATGTCTTTATCCCACCTTCTTTCATTCCAAATTTTCTCATTTTTCTTTTTCTGAATAAAAGTAAAGAGCAAACAGAAAAGTCACTTTAGATACCGAAGACATGAATTACAACTCCTCTCAAAGAAGTTTACTGTAGTACTCTGGGGTTATTTTTTTTAAAGTATGTTACCAGTGTATGTCCAGATGCATAAACACACACACGCACACACGTGCGCGAAAAGGAAAAGAGTTCTCAATGAATGGACACAAGTGACTCACTTACCTTGTCTCAGGGTTATATCCTAATATGTAGAAAAATGAATCCACCCGGGCTTTAAACTCTCTAGCAGCAAATATGTCAGAAAAATGGGAGATGTTACACTTCCCTCTGGGAAAAAGAGGAAAAAAAAATTAGTAATACCCTTGATGGCTTTTGCTAACCAAAACTGGAGGGGTAAGGGTAGGGGGAGCACTGAACTAAGTCCACGGTGCATGTAGAATCCAGCTACAAATGCCATACTTGATTATCTATTCTGTTTTTCTTTTCCATGACTGCTTCACTGTACAACTTCGCAATTTGACTGTTTTTATATCACCATTTTACTAATAAAGTAAAATTAATTAAAACAACAAAGATGAACTGGAGACAGGATGATGAGAAAAGCATATTAAACAAAGTAGAAATGGAGAAAAATTTAAACCACTGTGAAAATAAGGAAAACTCAGTCTAAAGCCTTCCTAAATCATCAAAAAAAAAAAAAAATTAGCCTTTCTTCCTACTACATTATGATAGGCAGAGAGTACAACTGTTTAGAGCTAAAATGTATATTTGACATTTCCTTGACAGCTTCTGACCAATAAATTTTTTTTTCTCCTTTAATGTGCAACAAATAAAGTTACTTGGAAATTAAAACCTAGAGAAATTTTAATCTTTTTTTATAAACATGGGACCCACTATACAAGAAGTTCTCAAGTTTTGAGAACTTTAAATGGCTATAAGTTAGAAATCACTTTCCCATAGAAATACTAAAATAAAGCAAAGTTTTCAGGTTCATCTACCACTTAAAGATAAGCCAACTTATAGCTGAAAACTCTACAATACTTACTACACAACTGCTTAAGCAATGGTTGCATGCACCAAGTATCAGTGTAAATGCCAGCAGCGTTAGATCATGTGGTAAGGCCTAACTTCCAAACACACACACACACACACACACACACACACACACACACACACACACACTCTCTCTCTCTCTCTCTCTCTCTCTCTCTCCCCCACCTCCCTCCCTCCAGGATTCCCTCAAGGGCTTATGTACCTGTAATCAAAACAGGGTCAGTCAGGCACCGTGGCTTCATACCTGTAATCCCAGCACTTTGGGAGGCTAGGGCAGGAGGATCGCTTGAGGCCAGGAATTTGAGACAAACCTGGGCAATGATAGCGAGACCCCTCTCACCACAACTTGTTAATTTTTAATTTTTTTGTAGATGGGAGTCTCCCTAGGTTGCCCAGACTGGTCTCAAACTCCTGGCCTCAAGTGATCCACCTGCCCTGGCCTCCCAAAGCACTGGGATTATAGATGCGAACCACTGCACCTGGTCCCAATTTCCATTTTTAAAATTAAATAACAATGCTGTTGATATAAAGTCCCTTAAGGAGCTATAGACTGGAAAGTAGCTATAGTTCTATAGAATTGAAACTATAGAAAGTATTCCAGCGTTACTGAGCACTTGAAACAAAACTGATACAACTAAGAAGAACTGAATTTAAAATTTTGTTTGATCTTAACAAATGTAAATCTAAATAGCTACATATGGCCACTAGCTACCACAGTGAACAACACAGATTTATAAGTCACTTCCATCACAGCAAAAAGTTCTATTAGAAGTGCCATAATATTCATAACTACTATTTGTAGATAATAAGATCCAATTCAATGAAAAATACAGAATAAGCATCAACTTTCCAGGCCCAGAACCTCTTCTATATTTAACTAGAACTAAAATAAGCTTCTGGGAAAGAAAAGGTGGGTATGACCTTTTTTACAAATGAACAACTAGCTTACTCTGAAACTAACTACCCACTCATCCAAGATGATTTAATCCCTGAAAGCCAGAAGAAATAGTTAAGTTCCTTTATCAGTAAAATAGAGATAAATATGACCTACTACACTTATAAAGACAAAGTCTACAAAACTCTACTACACAATGCTATGTAAAGTAAGTTACTTCTATTATTGTCCATTACTAAAGGAAACTAATTCTTCTTTTATTTTTCTTTGTTATTTCACTCTTAAACTGGAGTAATTATTATATCAGTTAAAGGTACAGAAAACCTAGCAACCCATAACTCTAAACACAAACACTGGAAATCAGGTATGTTTAGGGCAGGGTTTATCAATCTCAAAACTAACGACAGTTTGTACTAAATAATTATTTCTCGTCAGAGGCTGTCCTGTACACTGCAGGATATTTAAGTGAATCCTTGTCCTCTACCAGTAGCACCCATACACATTTCTTCCTGACAATAAAAAATGTCTAAAGACATTGCCATATGTCTCCTGGGGAGGGCAAAATTACTGGCTAGGGAAAGCCAAAAGCAAAAGGAATAGAAGCATTTCATCTGATAAACAACTATGAAGTTGGCTGTAAATGGGATTTTTCTCTATCATCAAGCCCCTTCTCTATCTGCTTCTGTTTGTGTACATGAAAGGTACTGATATTTGCACATTTTTACTTTTTTAGCCTTTCTTATGCCTCTAATTGCACTGTACCCTCTAATACAATGTGCAGTGAACATCCTTGCCTAGTTCCTGATGTCAGTGGAAATGTCTCTCATGTGTTCCTATTAAATATGACACTAGATTTAAAGACAATCAAACCATAATCATAGTATTGGAAATAATCATATAATTTCTTCCTTTAGATTCAATAGTTTGATATATCCTATCAATAGGGTGAAAAACTGAACCAACTTTGCATTCCTGGAATAAATCCCAGCTGGTCATAATGTATTTTTAAATGAGGCATTAAAATTTTTAAAAGCCAAAAAGAATTTGATTAATTACATCTAAGTTTCCTTCCTTATAATTTTTATCTTTATTATTTCCTTTTTTGTACATTTTTATTGTTCTGTTATTCATAAAAGGTTTATTCATAATAGCTTAGAAACAATCCAAATGTCCAGCAACAGGTAAATAAACAAATTGTACATAATAATGGACAATAAAATACTACACAAATACAAAAATCTAGTGATAGATAAAATACCATGGACAAATCTCAAAAATTAAATGTTAAGTACAAGAAGCCAGACACAAAAATGGTATGCACTGCATGATTCCATTTATTTGAGCTTTAGAAGAGAAAAAAAAATTTATAGTGAGAGAAACCTAAACAGCTGGTGATTCTGAGTGGGGGGTTTTGAGAGGGAAGGATATTGAGGGAAATTCCTGAAATGAGGGGAATATGCCAGGTCTTGTTTAGGGTCAAATAAATTTATGAAAATGTGCACTTAAAATCCACATTTTACTGTATATTAAAAAATTATTAGAGGAAAATAAAACAATGAGAACCATTAGTATATAGCTGTGGTTGTTTAAAGTTCGTAATCTTCCCAGTTAGCCGGCCCTCAAACTCTTGAGTATTGAGCAGAGCTGAAGAAAGGGTTTCCATAACCAGGTAAGGCCACTGGGATTGGCTCTAATTAGGTGGCACTCAATTGAAGTATTTTTCAAATCACCTCGTAATGAACAGTGTTTATCTTTAAAAATGTGTGTATATGTGTGCATAAGTATGGATATGATTTTAAGTATTCAGAATTTTTTATCAGAGCCCTCTTCTCACCATAATCTCTGTCAAAAGTGGGACATTATTTGACAGTGTTTATGGAATAGGTGAGGAGGGACAGTTAAGAGAAAATCACCATCACATCCACCTTGCTGAAATACCCAGTTTCAGAGCCTTCTAAGGTCCTGTATACCCTGTATCTAAAGTAATGCTTCACTGTGAACAGAAATATGACTAAAGTCAGGGAAGGCCCAAGTCTTAGGGTGCTTTCATTCAACAGTAAAAAATGCATCCTGGAAATGACTCATTTCAGTAATCCTTCAGAGTGGCGCTTCAGAGAGTTTTACATCTGGGGCATCATCCGAAGGGTCTGCCAAGAGGAGGCAGCTATATGAAGACAAGGAAGAGAGAAGAGTCTCCCTCTTATGTAAGGAGACAATAAAAATGAAAACTGTGGTCTAGAAATTCACTCCCTTAAAACTACCAATAACTGGGAAGGTCTTCCTGTATCCCCAGGCATGCATAAACCCCAAAGAAACTCATGATGAAGTGCACCAGCATACAAAGATTGTTTACAGTAGCAAATCTGTTGAGAGCTATTATTAGTTTTTGAGACAGAGTCTCGCTCTGTCCCCCAGGCAGGAATGCAGTGGCGTGATCCCAGCTTATTGCAACCTCTGCCACCCGGGTTCAAGTGATTCTCCTGCATCAGCCTTCCCAGTAGCTGGGACTACAGGTGTGCGACACCATGCCTGGCTAATTGAATTTTTAGTAGAGATGGGGTTTCACCATATTAGCCAGGATGGTTTCAATCTCTTGACCTGGTGATCTGCCCACCTTGGCCTCCCAAGTGCTGGGATTACAGGCTTTTGACCACTGTGCCTGGTCAAAAGCAATTATCTTTACTCTTATCTGAGAATGAAAAAAGATTTTGAGAGAGTCACATCTTATCTATTATAAGTCATCTAATTAATGACAGGTATAGGATTGACTTTTGTTTTTATGTGTTCTGTTTCTTGTTCTTCTGTTTCTGTTGGCTTCCCATTGGTTATTTGAACTGTTTCTTTAGAATTCCATCTTATCTCTAGTATTTTTCAGAATTAATATATTACCTTGTATAGTTTTCTTAATGGCTGCTCTAAGTATAACATACACATATAATTTATCACTCAAAGATAGAGACAATTTGTCAGTTCTAGTAAAGTGGAGAAATCTCACCTCTATTTAGGTCCCTTTGCCCCACGTGCCACCACTTTAAATTGTCTTAAGTATTTCCTCTATATACATTCAGTGCACATATACATTCTTATTCTTTAGATTCATTTGCTGTCGTTTTTAAATTTGAGCTAGGAATTTAATTCAATTTTTTCATTTTTATTGATGTGTTTAGTACAACTAATTTTCCTCTGATCACTATTTAAATACATGTCAAGAATTCTGATACACAGTATTTTTACTGTAATTTTAAAAAAATTATTTAAGGCAAGGCATACTAGTGTACACCTACAATCCCAGCTACTTACTATGGTGGCTGATGCAGGAGGATCATATGGGCCCAGGAGTTTGAGGCTGTAGTGTGCTATGATCGCTAGTATACCGTGA